TGTCCTATAATGGTGGTGGGTCACCTGTCCTCTTGATCAAGGAGGCTAGGAGACCCCACCAGATGGACTTGAACCAGTGTCCAGTCTATAAAGAGGAGGGTCAACACAGAGGAATCATTTCCTCCATGCTTCCAAGAGAAGCCAACAATGGTCGAACAGGACCTTTGACTTATCTTCACGTAGATGGAACTGGTGAAAGAAAGGAGCCAGGGGCTCCTCCCAAGCCCATGGGATCCCTGAGGAACAGATCCTCAAATGACCTCAAGAGTGAAATTAAAATTTTTTAAAAAATTTTTTATGTGTATGCATTTATTGCTTGCATGTGGGTAGGTGATCCCTGTTATACAATGCCCTCAGAGGTCAGAAGCTGGTTGGATTCCCCTGGAACTGAAGTTAGCCACCATGTGGGTGCTGGGAACTGAACCTGGGTCCTCTGCAAGAGCAGCCAGTGCTCTTAACCTCTAAACCATCTCCTCAGGCCCTTTTTACTTATTATTATTATAGGAGTGTAGAGCAGCATGCATGTGAGTGGAGGTCAGAGGACAACTTTGTGGATTTGGTTCTCTCCATCCACTCTTATGTGGATTCTGAAGATCTAACTCAGGTTGCTGGACTTGCTGGCATGGCAAGCACTTTACACTGAGCCATCCTGCCAGCCTAAAATATGATATTTTTATAACTTTGCAAACTATGTTTACCTAAAAGTACTTGATTACATTAAAATGCTTTAGAATCAAATATCATATATATTATATGCTCCTTGTTGCAACTGTTATATTTGTCACAAGACCTAACTGACCAGAGAGGCTGACTTTTTTGGATGGAAAGAAAGCCTGACAATGGCTCTGGAAAATGGCCACTTTAAATGTTTAGATATACGTACACACACACATACATACATACACACACACACACACACACACACACACACACACACACACACACGACAGAATCAGCTGGGTAAGCATGCTCTTCCTACCTAATGGGAAAATAAACATTTGTTGAATGCTATCCAGAGTACATATTTAGAAAGGGTTCCAACCTGTCCAATCACTGAGTAGTCATTTGGATACACAGACTCTTCCACTTAGCACTGAAATACTTTTAACTTTATCTGGACTTAAAAATTGGTTCTTTTGACCTGATATGATTAAGATCTTCATATTCTGGCAAAATACCAATCTGCCTACACTTATCTGAAAAGAAATGAAAAACGTGTTTCAACTCCTCATTCAGCAGCCTGGTACTCCTTCTTTCCTTGATGAAAAAGAACTGTGGAAAACTGTTCTAGCATGTTTCTGACTATTATGCCTCTGGTAATTAAACGGTAATTTTTTGTAGTTTCCCTGACATTTTTTTTTTTTTGCAGTACTGATGAATGGGAAGTTTTCTAAGTTAGGCAGGCAAATTATTTATTCATCTATTTATAAACTGTTCTCCGATATTTACTTAATGGGTTATTGAACTTATTTTTTTCCCAACTGAGTTCAAGTTCATCCACTCCATTCATTTTCACTTTTTAACAAATATTAACTAAGTTGTCTATAGTGTATCAATACAAGACAGAGGAAGATAAAAAGACAACCACAAAGATAGCAAATTATACGTACATCTCAAAGTTCATAATAAAAATGGAGTACATTTTGGGAGGCAATTCTACAGACAATTTGATCTGCAGGTAAAGAATGTTTGAAGGAATGTGACTGAACAAGAGGTCTACAAAGCTCTAGGCCCAATAAAATGCAGATCGAGAACTAAATTCAGGTTGAATACATGTATCACATACATGAAACTTGAGATTCAGATACTGTTAGGATACTGTTTGGTTTTTGTTTTTTTGAGACAGGATCTCCCTGTAGCCCTAGCTGGCCTAGAACTCACTATGCAGATGAGGCTGACCGCACTCTCACAGACATCCACTGCCTCTGCCTCCTGAGTACTGGGATTAAAATTAAAGGCTTTGCACCACCCACCATGTGTGGCAGGATACTGTTAGGATGGTTTGTAACATAGTGCCTGGGACTGATACTAAAAATAGTTACCAACATTTCAAACATGGGTTTCAACTAACCAAATGGACTGCTAACCAACAATTATAATCACAGATTCCTATTAGCAGCTAGATATTGGATCTGGATTGAATTTTCCTCTCCATCTCTTCCTCTTATTGATTTACTTTTTTAATATTAAAGAGGGGTCTCTATTAAAATATTACTGGAAGTTATTATGCTAAGAATTATGGTTGATTCAGCTAGAATACTATATCCTGATGAAAAATCATTAGTCACATGAGAAATCACAACAAATTTGAGGTCAGATTACTGCTCTTATGCTGCCTATTATCATTTTCAACAACTGCATTCCCTAGTTTCCCAGGGGGCTCTATAAATGGCTAATTCTTACCAGATGTTCCAGCAGCTACAAAGACTATCCATGAGAAAGTTTCTGTGTATATTCTATGTATAATGAGAAACAGCTACTTTCAGACATTCTGATTTAATTTGTTTGAGTCATTTAATACTAAGCCTACAAAAAAAAAAAAACAAAAACCTCCAACTCTTTCTGAGAAACATGTGATGCACTGCAATCTGGGTAATCCCATCCTGTTTTAACCCAGAGTATGCCTGTACCTGGAAGCCCTGTCGGAATATAGGAAAAGATAATGGTTTTTCTGTAGTCTGTGAAGCTAGGCAAGCTGGCCTGTTTTTTTTCCTCTAATCAGCCCAAGAAACAGAATGACTCTTATGCACTCTTTCTGTGTTCTGTGCCTTAGTTCAGTCAGATAAATTGCTCATGTTAATGTACATAATGCATTTTATTTCTTCAATGAGTCCTTGCCAAGTTCTCAGAGCCAACAGGCCATGATTAGGACAGCATGAGCTCCAGAAAGTGGGATTTATCATCTTCTTATCTTTCCTTCAGATTCAGAACAAAGTCAGCGATTAGAGCAATCTTTAGCAAGAAAGTCACAGCAATAAAAGAAATAAAGAATTTGGTCATACCAAATGATAAATTTAAGCATAGCAGACTATACATTTTTAAATGTATAAACTTACTCAAATCTCAATTTTAAGTGTCAATCTCACAGTATCCAACTAGTGTCCATTCTGCTTATCTTCTTAATCTAAAATAAAAATTCCAGTTTCTCCTAATTAGAAGAAATTTTAGATATGATATCACTGAAACAAAAACTAACCTTGAAGAAGGCAAACCACTTGTAGTCGTTCAACACAATCTCGAAACCTTGATTGTAAATGATGGTGAAATGCCCAGAATTGCCAAACTCATCATAGGCTGTATCCAACTTCTTAAGGTGTACCACTACTTTTTTTTCCGATGGTCCTAAAGAACACAAAACAGATAAAACGTTAACTGTACTCCTGGGGGAAGAAGATCTCCTCAATAATTGCTACTACTAAGGTTCTTTCCTTTCATGCAAACTAGTTGGGACCTGTGATTTGGCTCTTTAAGACACTCATCTCTCTCATCATAGGCTGTATCCAACTTCTTAAGGTGTACCACTACTTTTTTTTCCGATGGTCCTAAAGAACACAAAACAGATAAAACGTTAACTGTACTCCTGGGGGAAGAAGATCTCCTCAATAATTGCTACTACTAAGGTTCTTTCCTTTCATGCAAACTAGTTGGGACCTGTGATTTGGCTCTTTAAGACACTCATCTCTCAAGAGTTATGCAATTTGGGAGTCTTTTAGATAGACCCACTGAAGGGGTGTCCCAATTGCCTCACCCTGTGTCCCTGTTCAGCATGGAAGAAGCCAGAGCGGTCTGCGTCCCAATTCCTTATCAGCAATTTGGGTAACATCTTCAGAGGATGGTGTGATAAGAATAGGAGGTAGGAATTGGCTAGGCAATTAGGGTAGAAAGACCCCAAAGAAAAGCAGACAGTTTCTTGGCTAAAAGTCAAAATGTCTTTGGATCTGAGAGAAAA